GAGTGTCCCACAAGAGTGTCCTACAAGAGTGTCCCACAAGAGTGTCCTACAAGAGTGTCTCACAAGAGTGTCCCACAAGAGTGTCCTATAAGAGTGTCCCACAAGAGTGTCCTACGAGAGTGTCCCACAAGAGTTTCCTACAAGAGTGACCCACAAGAGTGTGCTACAAGAGTGTCCTACAGAGTGTCCCGCAAGAGTGTCCTACAAGAGTGTCATTTGGACATATTAGTTTTTCGATCGTGTTTGCATTCGGGTTCGTGGGTTCCATCTTGTTCAGACTTATATAAGGATTCCTAAGTCGGTCGTTGAGTGAATAAGCAGGACAGGTTGGATCATGTTACATTTTGGACAGGAATTGGACTGGAGTCAGTCATCAAGCAAATATATTAGACCTTGAATGAGTTTGGGAGGTCTGTTTCATTCACACTATGGGACCGGCTTTGGGAGGTTTTCTTCAGCAAAAGGCTGCTACCAACGACCGTTTCCACCTCAAGATATCTCATCATCTCACCTACTCGAACGGTCGGTTGGTGTTGTTTTGTTGAAACGCCCCCTGGATCTTCCAACTATATATATGCTCCGTTCGTAGCGATGCCAGGAGCCCCGAATGTAGCTTCTTGTTCCTAGTAATGCACATTTTATAGATTGCTGCTGGTTTTACACATGAAAAGGTAGACATGTTGCACAGTTGGAAGATCCCGGCCGGTACACATGTCGTATGCTTTTGTTACTTCGTTGACCATGGGGATGGGTTGTTCAACCGACCGGTTCACCCGAGGTCCCGGTCGTCCACCATTTGGTAGCAGCTAGCGAAATCGCTCCACCACGCAACCTAAGGTATCCTGACCCACAGGCATATGCATGTGTATGCAATTTGCCCCTAGTAGCGTCCTTGCTCCTGGTAGTAAGGCCAGGAGCCCCGAATGTAGCGTTCTTGTTACTAGTAGCGATGCCCTTGTTACTAGTAGCTTCTTGTTCCTAGTAGCGATGCCAGGAGCCCCTAGTAGCGTCCTTGCTGTTGTCATTTTACTTCTCAGAAGTTTGCTGGTGCGTGGCCTAGGTCGACGCAGAAGACGGACCCTCACGAGGGTGATGAGGGCAGCCCGCCCATGCACTCGAGGGCAATGGAGTCAGGCCGGACTGGGCCCACGTGGGAGCCGTCGGGCCGTGACGGTTCGGGTGACCCAATTCAGGCCGAAGGGGGAGGTGTTTGGACGTCCTACGAACCAGACACCGCGGTGGCCGCCCAGGTGGGCAGAACGTCAATCAACAGACTTTGCTCATCCACTTGACGGCTCAACTTCCATAGATTACCCTTTGCGTTGGTTGATTAGAGGTGTGTAGACCCCCAATGGAAAACTCCAAGGATTGCAATACTACATTGGGAAACAACAAGGAACAGGAAAAGATAATTGGGTCAGAAGAACATCATCTGAAACATCAACAGAACAAGGGAGAATACCTGGACAATTTAGGTGCGTGACAAGTTTTACCTGGTACAAGCAAGAAAAAGAAGACCAAATGAAGAACACCATGGAACTGTCCACAGGTTGATGGTGAACAATCAATAACCCGCGAACGAAGTGAACTTAACCAATGGAGGGGCGAGAGTGGATACCGAGGGGATCCCCCCACGGTCGTGTATCATCAATCACGTATGGTACCTGGCACTGACAATTGACCCCTGAATCCCCCAAAAACGGACATCTGCTCAACCATGCTCCACCCCAGAAACCGCCTCTTCCCCACTTCCTAGAATCCACTTTCGCTTCGTTTTGCTTCGCTTCAACTGGCCGCCAGGTGGAAGCCCGGGCTCTGACGACCCCAACACGCCGGACAGGGCTCGACGCCTGTCGCAGGAGAGCTCCTTGGATCCTTCCACCTGGCCAGTCTTTGGAATGACCAACGAGACTTGGGATGGCAGATGGCTTTGGATCCACGATCCACCGGCAGAGGTGGAGAGATGGAAGATGTGGGAGGAGCAACCTGTAGATCTTGTGAAATTGTTGTTTGACCACTCCTCGTTTACATTGCTTTTCAGTACAGTTTGTATATGCTAACTTATACTGGCACTGATCTTCCAAGCACCACTCCGGAAGCCTGGCCACAGCAGCAAGCAGGTTGAGTTCACAAATCAAAAAGTCCGGTGTTGGGACATTCTTGCCTGGCACAGAATTGCTGAAACAGCTCACTTTGACCATACCTCGGACACCTCTTCAGCTTCTGTTTTATACTGCGTCTTGGTGCACCAAGGATGGCTTCGGGATCACAACAAAGGAGGGTCACCTGGATGTGGAAAAGTCTGCCTCCTTTGGTTTCCACCGACCAGAGAACGCCTCAGCGTTGGAGTCCATCTTGGAGGGTACGGGCACCCAGGGAGGCACGGTGTGGTGGTTGGGTGATTTCATGGTGAAAAAGACATGGTGAAGAAGTTGGACACCATAGCAAGGCTGAGCAGGCACGTTGTTTCCCACTGGGCCCTTTTCCAAGTTTTGACCCTTTTCCTTAGGAAGAGCTCTTGGAAGAATGTTCGTTTGGGCCTCCTTGGCCCTCTAGAAGGTGCCCCTAAGCACCGAACCGACGGAGGTAGGACTAAGTCGGACCACGGACGGTGTGGTGGGTGACGGAGCTAGCGGAGCCAGTCGACGGAGCCAATCATGCTGTGCTCCGTTCGTCCTTGCAGATGGCTCAGTTTGGTTGTCCAGAAGTTTCAGTGTGTGTGTTTCTTGGAGTATGAAGTAGTTGGGGCAGTTTGGGGGGCCCCCTCCTTCATAATCCCTAGGGTTTGTGGCCCCGCATTCAAAGCCAGTGTCACCCCGCATTCAACGCTCCGAAGCGAGAACGGAGGCAGGACTGGAGCCCTAGGGACTGGTCCAGCCGTGGTCCTCGTCTTCTTGTTTTGCACACGAAGCGCCACTTGCGCCATGCCAGGGTAGCCAACTAGCAGTCTCATCATGTCTCACCAAACAGGTTGGAAAATGAACATGGCCACGATGCTTCATGAACAGTTTCAGAGTTCGTCAGTTGACCGGGGTGCAATGCATTACAGCCACACCCTCGGAATCATACTGTTCCGTCATATCTTGCAGTTCTCAGCACTCAGAGAAGTGGCTTTCCCGGAACATGCTGGGTCAACTGATTGGTGAGGGACCCAGTATGTCATGTTGCTGTACCACTACAGACACCGTAGTGCTGTACGGCCAAATCCAGGACTGGGCCCAATAGAGATTCCTCCAGCGGATCGTCCTCATATCCCTCACCAGTCTGTCCTAGGTTGTCCCTAAGAAGAAGGTATGACTAAAACCCTCCCACCCACCCCCACCCTCCTTCCCACCGAACCTCACGCTTCTCAGCGAACCGGATCGTCGGGAGACCGGTCGACCCCGAAGCGGTCGTTGCACCGGGGCGTCGTCCACCGGTCCGGTCGGTCCCTCCGCCAGGAAAGGTGTCCGAGTCACGGAGCCTTGGGACCGGATATGCCGACGGGTCGGGTGAGACGCTTCGGATGGTTGACATGAGATGTTGAGAACCAAGGAGATCCAGGCGGTCAATTTGTGTATAAAACGAAAAAAAGGGAAAAAGGGCATCCAGGAATCCAGGATCATCCAGAGGTGTGTTGGAAGTTGGGGTTCGTGGTTTGTGTTTCTGATTGCTTTGTGTCTCTCTTTGTGTATGCTATGTAAGTGAATCATGCTGGATCCTTCGGCAAAAGTGCAACGAGTTGCAACTATATAGTTGCAACCCTTGGTTGGCAGACGTGCTGGTTCCTTTGGTCGGCTGGTTTTGCTGGTCCCTGCGGTAGCCGGCTTGCTGCCATGAAACAACCAACAAAAGGCTCATCAGCAAGTCCTGCCGCACGATTTTGACAAACCATGAACAACTTGATTTGCTGAAACCACCCTACTTGAGTTCACCAACTGTTTGGTATTTGATTTTCATGATCATCCGATCGTTCGTATGGGCGCCCAGACTTGACATGAATCATCACACGTGCAGAAAAAAAATGATGTTTGGCCAAAAGAACTGAAAACAAATCATGTCGAAAGTCTAAAATCAACGTCCAAAAGCAGTACCTGTGTATTTCTTGGGTCCTGCGCAACCTTTCTGTCAATCCGAGGATTCGCAGCGAGCTTGAAGAGGCGCTGCAGAAAGCGCACGAGGAGAACGAGTCCCTCCGACAGCTGTGCCACGCGGCCGAAACGAGGAGAAACGACGAGCTCGTTGCACGAGTCTCCTACAGAGGTTCTGAGATCTTCTCCAACGCGCTAAAATGCCGGGACCGGCGTTTTTGCTGGGCATTCTTCTAGCTCATGCCGATGTTTCCGCAAACAGTGCGGACACGCTAGGCTTCTTATGGTAAGGGTTATATAGGCTTCGATCGAGGGTGCAGCCAACTTTGCTCAAAATCGTAGTGGCACTGCACGTGTTTTCAGACTTGGTGGTGCAGATTTCGTGGCATGCGCAGCACTTTGTGAACGACAAAGTGCAGATTTTGTGGACGCAGTACTTTGTCGACCTTGAAGTGTGGATTTTGTGGCAGGCGCAGTGTTTTGTGGACCTTGAAGTGCAGATTATTTGGGGACAGGCACAGCACTTCGTCAACCTTGAGATGCATGTCTTGGCAGGGGCAGCGCTTTGTGAACCTTGTTGTGCAGATTTTGCGGCGTGAGCCCGGACCTGGAGTGCAAACATGTGCCCTGTGCGCTCTCATATGTTTCTCGCACGCGCATGCACTCTGTTCAGTGTGTATTAAACACAGCTTTGGCATCTTCCTGGGATAGCTTTGCTGGTGTGTTGTTGTCTAGGCCTGCAGAGCACATCCACTGTGCGCCCTTTGCGTTGTTAATCTGACAAATATTGATCTTATGTTTTTCCGGTGCACATTTCCAGATATTTGGATATGTTATTATGTTATGTTGTTAGTTTTTCTTCGGAAAAACTCGGCTGCGTTTTTGAACATGTTTTTGGAACAAAAAAGATCTAATAAAAACAATGATTTAGAACACTGTCGTCTAAATCAGGGTTGCTCGCAGGCCTGCAAGGTGTGTTGGAGCAGATCTCTTCCCACTCAGGTTGTTGGAAACCACATGAAAGGCACAACGGTCTTTGACAAGAATAAGTAAGAGATGATTCCAAAAAGTGGTTTTGAAAATGACAATCTCAGCGGACTTTGGGCAAACATCAATGGGTTCAGGAAAATGTATTTCAACATTGATCGCCGCAAATGATTCTTGCTGGGTTACGGGTTTACCTAGTGGCAAATGTTGTTGACTAGAAATCACCGTTGACCTGACAAACAAAAACAGTTGGCTGAAGTATACTAAAGTGTACTAAAGTAGCGAACACCATAACAGTTTCAAAAGACAGTTCTTGCCATGCAGGTGGCCAATGGATAACCCATGATAACCCAAACTGGTTCTCTATGGTTCTCTAATCGATGTTCCTCGAAAAAGATCAGATGGGTGGAACCAGTCTGGGCTACCGGTGTTCGCAAAAAGGAACCCCGTCGCTCCCCCCAAAAAATCACCTTTCAGGCGGGGACTTCATCGTCTGGGCCCATCACCTGGAGGAAGGAACTGAAGCACTCGAGGACCCCGGATGGGTTTGGGGGCGCAGAGGGTCAAGTTAGATGTAGTTGAATGCCGAATCCATTTGTTGAGGTTCTTGTGGCTCCGGTTTGTGACTTTGTGCCTAGAGCTCGGTTCCACTCGGCTCAGCTGAAAGTTCTGCTAAATGTGCATGAACATCACTCACGGCTACATTCATCCTGGAGCTGTTAGCCTCATTCGTACGTTCGTTCGTCCATCCGTCCATTCGTTTGTTTGTTTTTTCATTTGTTTGTTTTCAAGTCTCATGAACAAGAGGTTGGGTTTGTCAACCTAAGAACTCTGTCACGCAGAGGACCTGAGTCTTCTATATTTTAGTATAGACATTAGTAGTGCCAGGCACGGGTATTAAATCGGCAAGAACACTTTGGTGCCTATACTCAAAAACACTTGTGCTGGAACAATGTCAAAAAGGAACTGATCCTCTGCGTTGTAAGTCAACTAAGGCTCTTTGTGGAGGGTAGGTTTCAAGAGTAGATCCCCGAACACGATCCCACGGACCTTGAAAATTCTCCACGGGTTGGGGCCATTTTCTACATCTTAGGGGTTTTGAGAGTCCATGTAGTCCTTTGCAGCAGGGTAGATTCCGGGTAGATCCCACAGCATTTGCAAACTTCCCAGTTCAACCCCCTGAAAGAATGGAAATAGACCAGTCTACCCATTGGTAGGGGGTCTCCCCATTAGAAGACAAATCATAAAGATGTGCAAAAAAAAGGTCAACCACTGGATCCCCCTTGGTACGGTATCTAGACCCAAACACGAAATGTCAGAGCGAGAACATCCTTTTTCTTCAACTAGTGTTACATACTGTTATACTGTAATACTAAGAGCATATAAGCTTTGGGGTCAAGACTCACCTGTTGGGGTCCGCCGGAGACTGGCTGTTAGGAGCCGAGTGAGAGCTTGGGGCACGAGCACCTGATCTGCGAGGCGAGGCGCTGCTTGGAGCTGGCACGCGAGCGCTTGGAACTCCGTGAACAGCTGAAGGAGGTGAGCGGGGGGGGGAGTGGGATATACAAGGGTACCAGGACCATCCAATACACTACTGAGAGATGTCCAATGGACACCCAACCCGGATGGTCGTGTATTTGGGGAGTGGACACCGAACCCATGGATTTTGGCCTTTGCAGTTTCGTGCAGTCGACGACGTGCGGTGACAACCCCCAGCTAAGCGTGAGGCCGGCACAATGGTCCTATGTACAATGTCAGAAATCAAGGCTGCCACACTCAATGCATGCTCAAAGTAGAGCGGCGACCAGCATGGAAGTAGCGCCACAGAGCATCAGCAACTTTCTCGTGGTTCGGAAGTTGCACTGCTCGCATCAAATGCATGGTTGGATTATGAAAACCCAGCCGTTTCAACTGACCTCTATGACAAGAAAAGGAATCAAAATCGAAGAGGGATCCCAACCACTTAAAGAATTGAACAAAAATCCTGAGCTGGGAACTCAGGTCTGAACGAACCAAATCTGCACGATTCATCGCGCATTTCATATGCTGTGCGTAAAAACGGCCGTGTGTTCTTCTTCCAACCACGCTTGTAAACAGGAGTCATGTAAACCCATGGATTTTGGTCGTCCTTCCTCCAGGTGAAATGGCGGTTGACCTCTTACACACCCCTATGAGTTGGTGATGTTGATTCGGAAACTCCAAGGAGTGGCGAGCACGAATAGATGGGGCAACTGTGGAACTGCTTCGGTGAACTTTCTTCACTTGGTATGTTGGGTGTTATTGTGGCGAGTTCACTGTTCTCGGACTGTAAGTAAGCGCCTTGAACAACACCCAGGCACGACCAAGCCGCGAAGCAGGACTGGGTTCGTTTTTCAACCACCCCAATGCAGGTACACATGGGACTGTCCCATTGGCTGAAAACGACCAAGAATAGCTGGTGCAAAGATCGAAATGGTTTAATGCCAAATTGGATTGTATGGGACAAGGAGCAAGAAGGTTTCGACACAAACTGGCGGGTATTGCATATACCTCCAGCTCCCAAGGATGTGTTTGCTGACTTGGCCCTTTTCACACATGCTCTACACTGACCCCATGAGAAATAATGTGGACCGGTTAAAGCCTCCTGTATGAGAATCTAATGCATTGTAAAGCCAAAACTTGGTGTGGGGGTGCTATTCATAAACAGTCCACCAGAGTTCCAACCTCAGAAAGACGGGACAAACTCCTTTGGCACCTGCAACCACCTCCAAAAACAAGGTAGGGGCAGACAGTTAGACACCCCTGGCACCCAACCACACCAGTGTTTGAACAGCCTCATAGCCTCATAGCCCATTGGGATCTCCCCAGACCTGGTCCCTTTCGATCGCCTTGTTTACAATTAGTTTTAAGATGGTTTAAGGGTCCTACGTAGGTCAATCTTCTCCCATGGATAGTCTGGGGCGGCGGGTCCAGGTGGTGGAGGGCCAGCTGAAAGCTCTTCGCTTGGGCCACGAGATGATGAAACTCGAGGCGAAGGCGATGCGACGCTGTGCCTCGACCGCTGCCATGCGACGAGGTGGAGTTGCCAGAAGCCAGTTTTTCCCTGGCAGGGGCTGAAACAATTGGAGTTCGATGAACTGGCGGGACTGTGTAGGTTTACATATAGGTTCACTATGATATGATATTGTTGACTGATTCTATAGATTCTAGAATATCGATTACACTGACTAGGCCAGATTTGTGGCACTCCTCAGGCTTGGGCTTCGGGGGCAAGCTCCAGTCCAAGAGGATGGATTCGGATCCAATTGGCAAAATGTTGTGCTTTCCGGAATGTCATGCAAACATGCTTTAAAGAGCATCTTAGGAAGTGGGTTGGAATTTGTTCTTTATATAATGGTTGAATGAGATGCAGCATGAGCCACAAGATGCTGCTAGAACATGTGGTGGCTCTTGATAGAGTCGGTTCTGTGCATGTTACTTATGCTAACCATGCTGGTCCTGTGTCCCCTAAGGTTTGGACAAGAGTGGCGTGCTGCCGGCGGTGGAGGTGGAAGAAGAGCCCTTTGCACTTTCAGAGTCGCCAGTCGCCTCGTCTCACGGTGGGCTCGAGGGTTTTTCACCCTCGGACTCGGTCGATGGTTGTAGGTTCTACTGGAATCACCCTGCATGGTTATATCATGTCGATGCAGTGGATCCACTGGCTGGCGAGCCATGCGAGTTTTCGTCCCAATCTCACCGGAGAGATGGACATCGTGTCGAAAACGGGTGAACCCTTTTATACCAGGTTTGTTTGTTTTTGTTGCACGTTCATGCATGTGCAGGCCCGACACGGTAAGCCCATGTAAGCCCCTCTTCCGATCTTGAGCTAGGAGAACACTTCAATCAACAAAAACGATTCCAGAAATCCCAAATCCCATCCTTTGATGCCATAAAAACAGATGGATGGATTTCCTTGATGTTCGGCTCCAGCTGGTCTCATGAGGAGTTCCCCCCATGGGTTCCGACCACCGCTTCGCAGCGACCGATGTCCATGTCGCACCTTCACCCTGTAGGATGTGTCCACGACATCAATTACAGTAGTTTCAGAGTAGATGGCATTTACCTTTTACTCTCCCTGGAACTAACATGGAAGTGGAAAACCACCTGTTTATAGTGGAGTTCATGGTCTTTCAAGGGGCCATTCTCCACTTCCATGTTAGTTCCAGGGAGTGTATTCCTTGTTCTTTCTTTGTTTCTAATAGTGATTTCCTCCAACCAGTCCTCCAACCTACTTGCGATGGCCTCCAACCTAATAGCATTTTAGTTTCAGAGCAGATGGCACAGACCCCATGATGTCCTGAACAGATGGGGTCCATATAAATATAAACCACCGACATTGGGGTTTGTGCTAACCCTCCTCTCAATCCACCACATCGTTCATGCGAAGAGCGATGGTGCAGATAGCAATCCTAGACACGACCTGTCTGGGACTGACAGATGCAACCGATCAGTTCAGGGTGATAGACATCGGGTCAATGGAAGCTATTATATACCAGTCCCATAGAGTGTTTGCACATGCTACAGTAACATGTATTTTACTTGGCAGCTTCGGACCAGAAGAATTGGCCATTGTCTCCCAGTTCCTAACTGGGTTACTGGGTTTCTCCCTGTTTTACTTCAACGTCAGAATTTCTGCCCATTCCATTCATCATTCATCCATATTCATCCCTTTCAGCTCCAGGTGTTTCCTTTTTCCCATCCCCAACTTCGCCGCTGAGGCTCCGCCGCAGCGGCGCTCAAGTCATCGAAGCTCGCGGCGTCTCGCGCTCCGAGACTCTGACGACCGCGTCGCCCGGCGAAGGCTGCGCAGGGCGGCTGCGCAGGGCGAGGGTGGACCCTGGTTCTTCCTTTGTTCCGATTTGAGCCTTGGATGGGGCGTGAAGAAGAACCAGGGGTGAGCAGGGGTGTTGTTTCATGTTGTTTCAAGATACCATAGGGTACTACGGGGGCTTCATTGCAGTTCTAACGTGTGCAGCTGGAGTTCTTCCAACTTGTTTTCCATTTACCCTCCCTCAAAGAAACATGCGGAAGTGGAGTGAAAGCCACGTGCATGTCTGGTCTTTGGAAGACTGGTCCTCCGAGTCCTCGGGGTGCACGCATCGTTGGCCCATGATGCTTGGGAGGGAGTGTTGAATTCACACTAGTAGGGATGATTCTTCAAGCAAGTGTGCACGTCATCTCTTTCGCCATCTGAGGCATTCCGCTCGAAGTTCGACGAGCCGCTCCCCTGCGCCCCGTGCCGCTTCCGGCAGCCGGAGTGGCAGTCAAGGAGCCCCGCGCGGGCGTAGTCCCCCCGCCCGCAAGACGGGGGCGGGAGTCATGCGGACGAAGGAAGTGCCAGTGCCTACAGCTGTGGATGGGCCTGGCGCTGTGGTGCGGCGTGGTGGGGATGCTTGGAAGACATGACCCGTGTAAATCATGTAAATCGCTACGTGCACTTGGATCGCTTGCCACGCCAAAGGGTTTCTTATTGCATCATCTTGGATCCCACTAGCTGTGGGGAGGATCTAGCTGTGGGGCTGTGGGGCGAATACAGAAGTGAGTCATCCTGTAAACTGTAAATGTTCTGTTGGGTCTTGCGCTCATATGGGCTGGGTCAAAGCCAGTTCCTTTCGACGTCAATGATGTAATCACAACAGCTGAGGAGTTCCAGAATCTCTTCCAGGCAGCTTTGAAGGATACAAGTCCTACACAACAAGCCTTGCGTTCCTTGCAGGCCTTGCTACGTGTGGAACCCTTGGGCTTCCAAGACTATGTGGACCCGGGCAGTGCCAATGGCTCTGCCTTGAGTGCGGCAGTTCGGAGTGGCAAAGTGGAAGTGGTGAAGGTCTTGCTGAAAGCGAAGGCAGATTGCAATGATCGAGATGATAAGGGCGTGACTTAGATCTGAAAGATGGGAACTGGTCAACCGTGCATTGATGAGTCAGGTGTGCTTAGATCACCCCCATTGTCACTTGAAAGATGAGAACATGGATGAACATGGAAAACTGGAGTGACTTGGATCGTGCGGACGGAAGATTTTCAACATGACGATGATTCAATGATTTTAGTCACCACCCCCTGCGCCTGGGCGGGCTCTGAGGTCCAAAACGGGGGTAGGTGGAGGGTAGGAATGTTCTTGGTCTGCACATCATTTGTGGTTTGAATCGCCACTCTGCCCTCCGCCATTTCTTGGTCGCCTCTGCGAGAACGAACTTTCGGTGGACGATCGCCCTGTGGTGATGTGTTTAAGGGGATTGGAACGATGATCGGAGAATTGGTGCCAAGAGTTTTGATAGGGTGTGGTGTTGTTTTGACTTGGTTGTTTGTGCCGCTTGAGATATGCTGAGATGTGATGCTCGGAATGGTTCAGAATTAACAATGGAATCCTCCAGAGGTGTTTCATGGCACCATAGATGGAGTGCCGAAACTCGGTCAAGTCATGAGGTGCAGCTCCTAAGATTCATGTTCACAATGGTTGGAACAGTTTCCATACTAGGAACAAGAAGCTACTAGGGGCTCCTGGCCTCGCTACTAGGAGCATGGACGCTACCAGGGGCTCCTGGCCTTACTACTAGGAGCAAGAAGCTACTAGGAGCTTTTTCTATTTGTTTTAATGACGTATGATTCCCCTCCCAGTCCATTTGGACCGACCCACTTTCCAACCTGCTGTTTTCTGGTGGCTGCCGTTTTCTGGCGGCTGCCCAGGTGAGCCCCCTGCATCTCGCCGCCTTTGATGGCCACTCAGAGCTTTGTCAACGGCTCCTGGTCGCCCGGGCGGACCTGGACGCCTGCGATCGTCATGGCCAGACCCCTCTCTTTTTCGCACCTGATAAGGACGACCAAAACAGAAAACGAAAGTGACCATGGAGGTGAACTCGTCATGAGTTGTTTTCTTGTTCACTCAAGATCCGACTCTTGTTGGGAAGACTACCAGTTGGTGGATGTTGGTGGCTTTTGCCCTACCTGGTCGGGTTTGGTAAGAGAAACGACTCACCGACTCACCTCAACATCATCCTTTCATCGGATACTTCCATCGCCAAACCCTGGGTCAAAGCTGACCCCTGTTTCACCCCCTTCCACCAAACGCATGAACTCTCCCTTTCCACCGAACGGCGACGGAGCGACGACACCGCACAGGAGGTGTGTCGGCTCTTGGTGGAGCGGAAAGCGGATTTGCAGATCCTGAACCGCCGGGGGCAGTCGGCCCTGCACATGGCGGGCCGCGCTGGGCTTCATGAGGCGCGTCGAGGGTTTTGAGGCTTCAAGAAGTTTGAACATATAATTTTATATAGAGATTATAGATCGAAAGCATTTTTGAGCATACCAGCTCCAGCTCAATGTTATGTATCTATCTCAATGGTTTGACCCTGAAACCATCCATCCCAACTCTATCTCACTGGTTTGACCCTGAACCCATCCATTCCAACTCCATCTCAATGGTTTGACCCTGAAACCATCCATTCCAACTCCAATTGTATATAGATGAAAATATGAAAAATATGAATGCCCAACTGATATGAATGAATGAAGCTGAATTGAACTCATGAAACCAACGCCCATATGTCCTGTCAAACATGCCTTGCACGCACAATCAAATGCCTTTTTTCACAGCTGCTTCTGGTCACTGAACTCCCTGGGCTGTAGCCCATTCACACAACCAAGCCAGCACAGCAGCCCTTGCAGCAGCTTCTGTCAACGCAGCTCGACCTGCTTGGCGGCTCCCAGCTGCTGGTGCCGCAGCTGCTGAAGAACTCGAACTTGCATTTGGGTCAAAGGATCTGCTATGACTGGCTTTCCCCTTCCACTTTTGGCCAGGAGGCAAGGACCCATGGATGTAAGGAGAAGCCAAGCCTTGGTACATCCGAATGGCACATCCAGGTGGTACTGCAACATCACTCATATCTGATCGTGCTTCCAGCTGTGCAAAAGGAGCCGGCAAACTTTCTGGCACCTTTGGATGGTCCTCATCCACAGGTGGTTCAGATGTTCTCTTGGCTCTCTTTGCAGGAGGTGCATCACTCTGGTTTGCTTTCTTGGCTTCCCCATCATTCTTCTGAGATTTCATCTCTGAGGACTCAAGGATCTTGTTCAAGAGTTCTGCCTCACATCGAGAATCAAGTTCTGGAGCCTCGTCCTCAGGCATCTCCTCCAGGTCCCCCTCACCCTCTTTCTCTCCTTCCTTTTCCTTTTTGAAGAGAGCCAAAATCGCATTTTTTGCATCTTCAGAATAGCAAAGGTGGTCAAGGAGTTTGGAGACTCGAAGTTTGTTGGTGCAATTCCCTGGCAAAGAGACCTTGCACAAAGCACATAAGCCTTTGAGACACTCAGCTGACAATCCTGAAGTGATGAATGAAAGGCTTGAAAAAGAGGTGAGACATGGACAAAAAACACTGGACCGCCATCACCATCAGTTCATCAATTCCCATTGAATGAAACAAAGTACAAGGACAATAAACATCAAACAATAGACCTATTTGCTTAAAGAAAATCCAGTGTCGGTGCGCGTAACTCTCAAGAGCATTGTTCACAAGTGGGACCATGGGCTGCAGCAACAGGCGCAACTCCTTCATCTCGCCCTGCTCCACCAAGTGCGGTGTGTAAGGGACAACACTGGCATCCATGGGTTTGGCAATGATCACGTCCTGCAATCCAAAAAAGAAGGTACATCCAGTAACATTAATATGGTCGACATGTCAGGCAAACGACCTGGTTGAAACAAAAAGGGTAGCAACTTCAATCTTTTTACAATCGACATTTGGACAAACTCATCCTTCATATGCCACGAAGACACATCAAGGCGTGCCCACTTTTTGGCATCCTCCTCGAAGCTCTCCAATGGCCACGCTTTGACATGGACATAAGGAGCATCAAAGCAAAGAAAGAGTTCCTGCTCAATATGCAGCACCTGCACAAATCTACTCAAATTCTGTCTTCTCACACACCCAGGGAAACAAATGCTTTTGAGGTGGTGTAAAAACTTAAAAGACTTACTATATAAACCCCAACATGCCAACATGAGTTGAACTGAACAATCAAGTACTGCATACCTTCAACGGCTGGGCGCTGTAGATACTGGACCTGGTAACTACTTGGTCCACCGCTACCCTTTAGTAGCCATGTGGTTTTGGAGCATTTTCATTCTCATAGATGTGCTTTGAGATGCATTTGTCACAAATGTGCTTTCGTGCAATTTGTTCACAAAATCAGCAAACCGCTTGTTTCAAACTGCTTATCTGCAGAGAAATCATCTTCCAACAAAACTACCAAACATCGACATTGTGTGAGGACACATAAACCACTTAACATCGACATTGTGAGCCATTGACATGATCACCCCTTCAACCACCCCAAAAAAACAAACTACTACCAGCAAAACGTTCCCTATTGGTGGCTCACAAGGAGCAACTGTCCCTCCTGCTACGCAATTCTGACAAACTGGTTGTCAATGGGACCGACTATACAGACAAGGTATCAACCCAATGCCCTTCCTGAACAAAAACCAGAAGAACTCCCCCCCAAAAAAAGAACCCGACCTGGCCACTTCGGACCATTTGAGCAGTCCAGAAATGCTCATGGTGCCCACTGCTGGCTTTCATTGCAGACCAAATGTTGAGACACTTCCTGGTGAGATGGTGCGGTGAGATGGTTGGAGCTCTGACCATGGAATTGAAGCCGGCAAGGCCGGTGTCATTTGCACTGGCTCTGCTGCAATCGAAGACACCTTTCTTGATGAACTGAGAGGGCTTGATGCCATTGAAGTCCAAGTCAGTGGGAGTTTTGAACTCCTTGTACCTCTCATTCAGCCCTTTGCAGCCCACAGCAAGAAGTTGCTCCACTGAGATCTCTTGGCGATGCTGCTTGGACTCTCCCAAACGATCATGTCGAAAAGCAGCATCTGCACCCAACGTAGAGCATGGTTCTGGAAACCAGGCGGCCACACGGGCTTGAAGAGTATCAGTGCACTGCCAATCGAGCTCTTCACATGCAGTCATGATCTCTCGGTATGCAAACCACGACAAATGAGGAACCATCTTGCAGGGATACTGTCGGTGACACTCTCCACCCTTCTCCAAGGACAAAAGAAAGCTCCATTCATTTTTCATTTCAGCAAGTGTCGCATCAGTCAACTTCTTGTCGCCACTCAGCAGCAAAAAGAACCTCCAAGGGAAGTGCTGGTACAGCAAGCCAAACTCACAAAAGTGGCGCATGGTGGCAATCACAAAGCGGAAGTGCACAGAGAGGACCATGTCGCTGTCATCCTCACAGCCACTGCACACATCAGCCACATGGGCCAGCCTCAAAGAAGATTCCAGCGTTTGCCGACATAGCTCATTCCACTGGGTGCACATGAAGCGGAGCATGCGTGGTTGAGCTCCAGGGCAAACATCGCCTTTGACCTGTGCAACAAACATCAAAACTTCTGCAGTGACAAATTTCAGTCAGCAAATCACTGACCCTCTGAAGTCGATTTACATGAATGGAACACCAAAGGAACACCATTGTTTGATGAGTCTTACAACATCTTACAACACACACACAAATGGTTTGAAACCAAACAACTGGGACGCGCTTCACACTTTGACTTTGGACAGCCATTGCCTCCTGAGCTTGGAAAGTTCGAAAGGGCAGCAAGCAGTACATGGCCGACTTTGCATGTGCAAGCGAAGTTGGGCTCACCAATACCTCACATCAAAAGTAGATAGAGATAGAGCATTGATTGGAGCACAAATGGTCAAACACACATGGCTTTTGCTTTTGGAATCCTTGGGAAAACACTTGCAGGCTCACCAAAAGCCAAACTTGAACGCTTGCAGTCATTTGCCTAGCTACACGAAGAACACGTGGAAGTATCTTATCGGACTCTTTCTTGGGGTCCTTCTGTTGATTCAGGTGGCCAGCGAGTGCAGCAAAAGGTGAAATGCCCTCCAGTGCCAAGGCCATGAGATGGAAGAAGAGCCTCATGTGCCAAGTCCGATGCAACTTTAAAAAGCTGTCTACCCAATCGCACCATCGCCCAAGTTTATGCTTGCCGCCAGTCCGATAACCGCCTTTGGCAAAGTCGCATAACACCTGCTTCAGCTCACCCTGAGTAGTACTTGGAGACAGCGACAGGTCTGCAATGATCCCGGGCCCACAAATGTCCAGCAAGACATGTGGGACAGGCAGCAGATGCACCAAGGCATGTGCCTCTTTCATTCGGCGTCCAAACATGCCAGAATTCCACGGTGCCTGCTCACTCTTCAAGACCAGCAGGGTTTCCCTCATGGCAAGGTTGACCTCATCAACATCTTTAATAGCAAGCATCTCCTCTCTGTGCAGTTTGTGCATGGTGTCTCTGTGACACAGAACAGCCAGGCCACAGTTGGCTAGAGCCATCGCCGAACCAGTCTCCCCTTCATCGGTTAGGGAGGAGAAGCGAACAGTGGTGTCAGACATGCTGTCAGGCACTGTGCATTGCCAAGTAGCTTGCTTGGTAGCAGAGTTCCAATAGAATGCTTTCTTGACACCAAGTTCATTGGTTGCATAGCATCGCTCCTCACAGTGCAGTGGAGGTCTCAGTGGAATCAGTGGTTCACCATCACAAAGACGAAGCCTGAGGAGGTAGTCCAAGGATTGGTTAAGTGCAAGAAGCTTTCGCCTTGTTGGTGCCTTTAGCTGAGCACAAATGACAGGCTCCTGTGCACTTGGGTCCTTCTTGCTGAGCATATGCAATGGAGCTTCCACTTCGATGTCCTGAATTGCCAGTAAAAGCTCTTCCGGGTTTTTCTCATAGGGTTGCTTCAAAGCAGGCATTGTTGAGCATGGTGCACAGCATACAAGCCCATCTGAAGCGATGTGAATGGACATAACCTCAAATTGAAGAGAGTTGAACACGCACACAGACGCAGAAACACACGATTTAAACATCATTTCTCCCTCAGAAAAAGCAGCATCCTAGCAAGTTACGTTGTGAACCCACCAATGACAAACACACAGACAGAACAGCAGCGCCTCCATTAAACAAACTCCAGGAATTTAAATAAAGGCAAGCAGCGTTCCACTTCCCCACAGTGGCACAATCGAAGTAAAAGGCAAGGTGTTTGAACTTCTGCTTGGACAGGACTGCCATCATCATTTCAGAGGCCCTGCACATGTAGGAAGTCACGTACTGGGTAGCTGCATGCAAAGCGGCTGTGTTGTTTTTACTGCCTGGCACTCCTTCCAACTCCTTGTTCTCAGAGTTCTTGAAGCCTGAGACA